GAGGGAAAAAAATCAGAGAAATAAGAAGGTCATTTTACAAATCATCTGAAAGTTAGAGATTTAAATTTGATAGTAATCTTTTTGTTTTATTTTGGGGAGACAGAGAGGAAACGAAGTTTCCTTTTCTTAATGACAAAGCAGTGGCAATGGCTTGTAACATATTTTGACACCTCAAACCTGTAGGATTGAATCTGGAAAGTTTGTTGTTGGTCTTCTGCCTTTCCCTTCCCCAAGAACTCCTTGTTCTTTCTGTTTCCACAGGCCACTTTTCTTACAGATCCTCCGGACTCCCATAAATGACTGGCCTTGCCTTTGGCTCTGATGGATTGTCTTGGCATCTCTCCTTACTATATCATTCCCATTTTTTAATTTGCTTCCATCAAGAGAACAAGAAGGTTATCTTTTGTCTTTTGAAAGTCTTCAGCTAGAATGAGGAAGTACATGCCAATGGGGAAATAAAGAAGTTAATTTATCTTTTACTTCATGGCATCACAGGATTGAGAGCCTAAAAGGGCCATAGACATCATTTATTCCAACACCCTCCTTTCCATGACCACAAAAGGCTGTGAGCTTTTCCTTTTCCGACCTTTCAGAATCTTGAACTGGCTGACCCTTTAATAGCATAGAGGGAAATGGACAAGCTTATCCTACCCTTCTCTGCAATTTATAGTCTTAGAGAATCACCTGGGGACTCTGAAAAGTTAAGTGATTGGGGGAGAGGTGAAGTTCTAACCAGGATGTTTCAGAGATAGTACCTGAGCCTAGGTGCTACGACTCTGAGGTCAGCTTTCTACCCACTATTCCAGGCTACACCTTGTCATTATGAAAATTAATGATTTTTTTTAAAAGCCAGTGCACACTAAAAAATGTATTGTTTTTACACCGTGTCTGATTAGCAAAGTGATCAATATTTCTATATAGTATTTATATATATGTAATGAACAAATTTCTCCAAAGTGATTATTACAATGTGAATATGTGACATTTTCTCCTATGAGTTTTACTTCATTCCCCCAAATCTTACTTTATGCGATCTTTGATTTACCCACTAGGGATGGTACATTTAACTCCCCTTCATTCATATAAAGTTTTGCTATAGTTCATGTTATAAGCATGTCCATGCATACACACACGAAGATATTATATTTCAATTATCTTGGGAAAAGTTTGACTTAAAGTACATCTTTCAACTTAGACCCTCATCCAGATGAGCATCATCAGTCTTGGGAGTTGCTTTTTGGCTGGTCTCTTGAGTTATGCTTCTCTATAATGTAGAAGGCTATAAATCTACCTAATAGTACTGTATAGGGCAAAGGTCTAGAACCTTTGGGACTTCACTCTGATCACTGGGAACAATTGAGGCTATTGATAATACTAGGTAAAAAGATAGACTAGAGAAGGTGCTTAGTAGGACTTAATAAGTATTTGTTGATTTGAACGCATTGGAGAAAAGAGGAAAAAATTCTGTAACCTTGTTCTGATAAGGAAGTAGGCTTGGTTCTAAATGATGAATAATAGTGCTCAGCACTTTACAATTCCCAAGAGCTTTGCAGATAGTAATTAAATCATACCTCATCCTTGTGGTGCTCCTATTTCACAGAAAACACTTTCTAAATGACTCAGTTAAAGGATTCTTGAAAACAAAGGCTAAATAGGGGTGGGGAACCTGCAGCCCAGGGCACATGCAATCTTCTAAGTCCTCAAGTGTGGCTCTTTGACTGAGTCCAAGTTTTACAGATTGTTCTTGGACTCAGTCAAAGGGCCACATTTGAGGACCTAGAAGGCCTTTACAATTGTTCTGTAAACAGTTGCATGTGGCCTCGAGGGTTCCCACCCCGGGCTAAAATATTCTTTCAGAGATTGTGAGAAATTATGGGAGAGACAGCATGGTACAATGCATTTGGATTCAGAGCATGCGTTTGAATTCTAGGTATTCATATTACTTGTATGATCTTGTGCAAATTACTTAACTATGTCATCTGTAAAAGGAGGCGGGCTCACACTTGAAAGCTTTTGAGGTAGCTTTAAATCTATGACTTATGTAATAAATGGGGCAGCTAGATGGTGAAGTGGATAGAGTGCTGGACTTGGAGTCAGGAAGACTTCTTTTTATGAGTTCAATTCTGGCCTCAGACACTAGCTGTGTGAGTCACTTGGGCAAGTCACATCACTCTGCCTCAGTTTGCTCATCTGTAAAAAGAGCTGGAGAAGAAATCAGCAAACTACTCTAGTATCTCTGCCAAGAAAATTCCAAATGGGGTCACAAAGAATCAGACATAACAACACCAATGTAATAAACTCAAATGAGTTTCTGCCTCTTCATCTTGTTTTGTGTGTTCTGTCTAGAACGATGTTAAGAGTCTCTTGACCCAAAAGTTGTTCCTATAAATGACTTAAAAAATATAATGTGGATGATTAAAGATTAGCATACTTTGAACAGTTTACAAAGGAAACCTTTCAGGATAAACATTTATCCAAGCTACCACTACAAAGAGGGAAATCAATACTAATGTTCACTTTGTGTGGTTAATATCATTCCTCTGGAGATAAGTGGAAGGGTTGGGTGGGGAGAAGCTCATTCCTCTGGGACTGGGGTTAAGAACTTGTTAGTTGCGGCAGCTGACCACGTCAGAAACGAAGTGGTAAGTGTAAGGAAGAATGTTAACAGGGTTGATGAGGATGTGATCTAGACCCCAGAAAGGAAAAACCCTGGACTTTCCCACATGGCCGGATCTCTGGCTTTTGCCTGAGGTTATAATCCCATCAACTGGCCTTTCAATGTGGCTACACCCAATGTCCTCTCCATTGTCTTATCTCCCTATGGCCCCTGGCCATTCTCCACACTTGACCTAGGTAGACTCCATTGTCCAGGTCCCAGGAGTTCTGTTCATCCCAGTTTACTGGCCACTCCCATTCAGATCTTCCTAAGAGGCCTCCTCCTGTCACCCCAAACTACTTGGCCACTCCTAGATTCCTCCCACAGTCTTTATGCATATAAGGTCCATCTTGTCTCCATTAAGAGGCTGGGATTTTTATAATCTAGCCACTGCCCTGATTCTTATAATCTAGCCACCACTCAGCTTTTCACAAGCTAGCCAATAGCCCTGAGATGCTCAGATTCCTTAAGAGTCTAGCTAATATGGTGAATCTTCAATAAACCTTGTTTTTGGATGAAAGAAGGGTTGGGTCGAATTCTTTCGGGCAGGACTCGAGTGTTGTGATTTTGGGATTCCAGGACCCCTAACCTCTAGACCTCATCAGGTTGAGTTCTCTTTATTTTCTCTAGAATATCAAAATACCTCATTGCTTTTGTGTTTGGCTTGCACCGGCGACTTTTCCTGAAATAAGTTGTAACTGGGTAAATATCTAGGCTAATAACAAAAGAATATTCTTTAAGTAGTTATAACAGCATTAAAAGACCAATAATAATTTTCTTTGGCCATTTGTTACAGACAAAAATGCCATTAAGCTCAGCGATAGTTTTACTTAATTCAATTTCACACCAAGGGAAAGAAATCATTTTAACATTTTTTTTTTTTACTTTTGATTTTGATATTCAGCCAAATAATGCCAGTCTGTTGATAAAGATTATTTTAGAGTTAAGAGTTCTTGTTTTTCGGTTATGTCTGACTGACATTTTGGGGGGTTTTCTTGGCAAAGATACTAGAGTTGTTTGCTGTTTCCTTCTCCAGCTCATTTTACAGATGAGAAATTGAAACAAACAAGGTTAAGTGACTTGCCCAAGGTCACACAACTAGCATCTGAGGCTATATTTGAATTCAAGAAGATGAGTCTTCCTGACTCCAGGCCCCACACTCTATCCACTTCGCCACCTAGCTGCCCTATTTTATGAGAGTAGCCTTTACAAATTTAAGATATTATTTACCATAAATTATCTCAGATATCAACTAGTTGAATACATTATCTTGAACTTAGTCTCATTTCTAGTAATTCTACTTGGAAACAGGAATTATGAGAGTATAACATTTATTTCATTCATTATGATTGATACACACACATCTGACTTTTCACATGTTCTGGGTTATCAAAAATTATTTTTATCTCTGGATATTTCTGCAGGAATTGCTTTGAAAAGAAACCATTCATTCACCTATGCATGACTATGTGCGATACTCTGAATAGTCCTGTTTTCTCTGCTCCCAAGCAATATGCTGACAGCTATAAGAAATAGGAAGTTGCCTAATTTTTTTTTTTTAAGACTGAGTCTCCCCATGTCATCCTGGCTGAAAATGTAGCAGCTACTCTTGGCCTGAGTCTACTTACGATCAGTACAGGATCCTTGACCGGCACTTTGGCTTAGCCCATGATAGCTCAGAGCTCCAGAACTCAAGCCCTCCACTAACACCAAAAGCATAGTGGGGATTACCAGTGTGCACCACCAAAGCTGGCCGTATTTATTTTTAATCCTATCTTTTTCATAGGATCGTATAAGGAATGTGCTTAAACATCTGAAAGCTGGAGGCAGATTTCTACATATCCTGTTTCTTCATTACATTTCTATGTGCTTGTCCTATTCTCCTCCAGATGCTAGTCCCTTCCTCCTAAAATTACCCTATATTTATTTTGTATATGGACATGTTGTCTTTCCAACAGAATATAAAGCCTTTGGAGGCAAGTCTTTGCATCCTCCAATGCCTGGCCCTTTGGAGACACTTAGCAAATTGTCATTTATTTTAGTTGGTTGATTCATCATCATCATCACCATCATAATATAAACACCATCAAAACTCATCCAAAATGTGCCCTTTAAAATTTAAAACATATATGTACACATGTACACACTATGCCCATTGCAGCCCAGCCAGATTCACACACAGAAAACTATCTTTTCATGTTGGCGTTTGTTGAATTGTTGAAGACCCTAAGAGTATGGCAAGCACTAAGGTTTGCCCAGCATGCTTGGCTGTGGATGGCCAAACTTTCATTCAGTTGGATTTGGTCAATTTGTCTCAGCACAGAAAGGAAGAATGACTATAAAATCATTTTTAAATGCTTCTTTTATTTCATTGGTTGCACATTGGGTGAGTGAACTCAATATTACAACTGAAACATAGAATTGATACAAATTAGACTTCTGTTTACATGGAAAGGTAATGAATGAGGGCTTTCGGTAAGTGTTACTGAAAGATTTAGTAGAAGTGTTGTCAGTGGAGTGATTGAGGTGAATGTTTTGGTGAAGTGCTGTTAAATTACTGAAAACCAATAATGAAATGCTGTTCTCAAAATAAGTGGAGATCCAGTCTCTTAACCACAGCATTTACTGAATTGATATTTTCTCATCTTGGATTCTGGTGATTTTGTTTTTGTAATTAAACAAAGCATTTAAGATTTATTCATCATAATCAGACTCTTCTGAATATAAACAAACTTTTGGCAAATAATATTTATACAGAAAAATAGTTTTAGATCCTCTCAAATCCCAGAATTATTCTATAAAATTACATTATAAATAAATAAAAAGCAAAATCTGTTGTACATATATTTGTACATCTATGTAATTGCCTTGCCTCCTCCTTACTGTAAATGGTATCCTTATGGTCCTTTTGCATAATATAGTCACAAATTCTGGAAAATGGATATCTTATTAAAAATACAGTCTTTTCTATTTCTTGGGATGTGTATATGTGATGCTTTTTGATGGTTTATCTTAAAGGGCTGAAAATAGTTGTATAATAGTCATTAAAAAATCAAAATTATGAAACAATAACATGAAAGACAATGTTATAACAAGTAGTCTACAAAAATATTTCAGTGATGCTCATAATTTACCTTTTAGTTATGTGTACTAAGTTTTCAAGGAATCTAAATTAATAAGTATTAAAAAAAAATGAACAAAAACAACCTTGAATGCTATAGGCAAGTTGTAGCATAACTACATTGTTAGAATTGAGAAAAATTACAAATACTAATAGTATATAATGGTAAAACTACCAAAGTAATAAAAGTTTAGATACAATATTTTCCCACAAATTAAAACAAATGTAACAGTACAAGCACTATGTTAGATTACACTTAGATTGTGATTTTTCTCTCATTAGGGTGATCAAATCTATGACTTAATATAAATAGATAGGAATTAGACTCTGAGCAACATGAGTTAAAATGGCAGATCTTTTTTGAGACAAATCATGACACAGTTAGTGTCTCTAGTTTTCAGGATTGGCAGTGATGCCAACATTTAAAATATTTTACATTCAGTCTGAAAAGTTTAAGTCAAAATACTGCAATCACTAATATGCTCACAAAATAAAGGGATGTTTTAAACAATTACACATCATATTCATTTATTACAGCTGTTTTGTTTTTGAAACAATAATTTAAAGACTATGTAGGTATTGTATCGGACGTGTGCAACATATAAAATGTGAAATATGAAATATTTGGTACAATAGTGCTTAAAATAAACTTCAAAACAAACTTTCTGAACAAAATTTAATTGTATCGCTATAACCTTGAAGATCAACCAAGTATTTAAAAAAGTAAACAACATTAAAATCTGTTTCATCCATATATCCGTATATATGTATGTATATATAATATGTATGTACTTGTATTAAAGTTTTTTTATATTTTTGAGACATAAAATATGCTTTAAGGTGAAAAGATTAAAAGAACTATTTTTCCATGCTGTAGTCAGTTACAACCCTTTAATTCAACTTTTAAAATGTAAAACAGTAATGGATTTTTAAAAGTGAAACTATCTACTTTTTTGTTGTTTGTTTACATAGTAATTTAGATTAAAGTCACAGTCAGATTTTAAGTGACTAACCTCAGATTTACTTAAATTAGAATATTATACAGATCTCCTCACCTACAGCTTCTTTATTTTACTACATACATCTTTAGTTTCAAAGTGTTATTCTGTGACAGGCAACTGGATGGTGAGTTTGAAAGACTAATCACTTAGATTAGGTTGTTGGCATTGGCCTCCTTTCCTTCAAGCTGGATGAAGTCTGGCAAAATTTAGGCACTTCTGCAAAGTCTCTCTTATAAAACAACATTAAAAATATATTTGTAAAATAATACCTTCAAGACTTTGTTGGTTGGGGGTATGAAGCTCATACCGTGCAAAGTTTTTGTTTCTTTTAATCTATTTTTCTTATTCTAGAATCACATGATTCAACACAGCATCTCCAGGCAAGCCAAACACTATGCTTTGATGCATCCCCAGAACTTGTGCTTGTCCTTGGATTTTCCATTAGAATTTGAGACCTGTAGGACAGGTCTTAGTTTTACTTCACTTCTTTCTTTGCTGCAGCATCATCTCATTGAGAAGTGAACACTTACCCTTTGATTAAGTGGGCAAAGGAAACGATAATAATTCGAGTGAGAATTTAACCTGTACTTGGGACAGGTTGGAACCAATGCAAACTGATTATTGCTAAATTTGAAATGTTCTGAGTCTGAAAAGAAGAAATTGGTTGGGCTTTCTGCATCAGCTATAGTTATGGAGATAAGACAATATTCCCTAGGACAGAAAACCATGTTTAGAGAACTTTTGAAAGTAAACTTTACCCTTTATGTCTTTAAACATCACAGCTGGCATCAGGTAGTTAACTATTTTAGGTTGGAATATACTAAGCATACCATATTTAATACTCATATATGATATAGCAGCACTAGCTTCTTAGAGTTTGTGATCTGTCCAGAAGAACTACATTTTTATTTAGCATGCAGTTTGTGGCAATTCTATCGAGGAGGAAACAGGATAGTATGTACAGTAACAATGTTTTGTTATTCTCAATGCGGTTTCTTGGCATTCCATTCCGTTTCTGCTGATTATTTCAGTATTATCTGTTAAAGGGGGAAAAAAATCACTGTTAGATATCCTTTTGTAAAAATCAAAAAACTGCAAATTCATGCATGGGACTTGTCAAAATGGAATCAATTCTATGGGATTTTCATCAGCTTCTTATACCTGGGTATGAATATAATGAATACATAAATCCACCCTTAATTCTGCAGGAAAGTGGCTGCATGGCATACTACTTCTCATAATTTGATCACTATGAAGAATGCCACTTCCAATGCAAGAAAAAAAAAACTATCCCCCTTGTATTTTCTTCAAGCTTGCTTTTCCATTTCAGCATTAGGGCATGTCCACATAAGGGACCATAGAAACACCGATTTAGAGCTGGAAGGGACCTTGGAGGCCATCAAATCCAACTCCTTCATTTTGCAGATGAGGAAACTGAGGCTGACAGAGGTTAAAAGACTTGCCCAAGGTCACATAGCCAGGAAGTGTCTGAGGCAGGATTTCAACTTAAATATTCCTGATTCCAGGTCCAACACTATTTTTGGTAGTAGTCCTAAAACGTGCAAGGTCATGCATGCATTGTTATCTGATCCCATTCTTTTTTTAAATGACCCAGATCTTTTTTCTGTATACTCAGTTCATCACAAATTTATATCTGCTGACTATCTATGATAGAGAATTTGTATATGTATATTCATATGTATATACATGTATAACACATAAACATGTATACATATGAAAAGTTGAATGCATTTTTTAAAGTTGATTAACATTTATTCACTGACTTCCATTATAAAATTGGAAATGCATTCTAATAGAAATAAATTTTAACCAAATATATAGTAGAAATCACTTTGTGAATTTTGAAGTCCCATGCTTAAATGAAACATGATAATTTCCTATTAATATGAAATTTGTTCTAAATTAGTAAAAAAAAAACAAACTTATACTTAAACTGAAAATTTAATACAAAACCCTTGATCTCTAAGGTCCTTTACAGTTTTAAAATTCTATGATTCTAGGTCAATGGGAAAGGGAGATATATCCTATGTGTAGCCTGACCCTTTATATTCAGTCTATTATATATAGCTGTCTTTATAAACATTCTGTTTTACAAATCCAAGCTTCCAACTATTCCTGCCAAGGAGGTTTACTCTGTGTTATGTTTTAGCCAATGGTTTGTTTATTTAAAGTCCCACGTTTCTGTTAAGGAAGTATCTTTTATAAATTCTTTATACTAAGGGTCTTCCTGCAGAGTGGAAGATTACCCAGTAAAAGAGCCATTACCTTTCAGTACACTTTATGATTCAAAGAAACATGGATTCCCTCATGTAGTTTTCCTTTAAGAGGGTACAGCCATATTTTGTAAAAATATAGTTTTAGTGCCCCCAAATAATAGGTTACAGTAAGTAAATAGGAGTGTTCCTTAACAGAACACAAAATCACGTAGTGGCATCTTGAGTTTACAGAATGGAGAAGCAAGGCATGAACTCTGCTGAAGCTGCCTATAGATATACTTATTGGAAAGCCATATCTTTAGATATAATAAGTTTGTTTCTTTTGTCAGTTTTAATTAATGTATCACCTTCTTTTGACATGATCACTAGCATTTCAGTTTGAGGGGAAAATGCATTCTTTGTTGAGCTGTGTACTATTAAATCTGTATTTGGAAAAGTTAAGAAATATCACATATCCTTTTTTTTTTTTTAAACTAGAACACTACCCATACCCATATTGGTAGATTTTAACTTAATCTTCACATCTGGGCATATAGTTATTACATATTAATTATTTAGTTTCTTCATTTAGCTGCAATGCTTCTCAAGCAGTTTGTGCTCCAATGTGTTAAATCATATATCTTTTAAATTTTATTCTAAACTCTAATCGCCTTTTTATAATGCCTATGAGATAAATAGCTTGCCATATAATGTTGTGATTCTTGAAAATGTGTTTTCCTTTTAGAATTTATTTATAGTCAAGCCTATTTGATGAAATGAAAAGGCCAAATAGGATAAAATATGAGCTATAACAACAAAATTTCTGATACACCTGGAGAAAAAGCATTCTGCAGAAAGCATAGCAATGGACAATAAAGATATTTTCAGCATGTACCCTAAAAGAAATCCATAACAAAGTGTGCAATTACTCAAAGGACCTAAAACAACTTTTTGGGTTGTGAGTTCAACAAAAAAATATGCAAGACCACCCACCTTTACTTAGACTGTAAGTCAGCATTGCACATAAGTACAAAGCATTTACTAGACTCCTCCATGCCTCTCTTGCTCCAGGCCCCAGGCTACACTGTCTGAATTCTATGGATAGTGAAATAAATCAAGACAACCTCCTGGATTATTGAACTCTTAACTATTACTCATCTCTGTCATGTAAGGCAGTAGTAACTGTCTCCATACATAGAACCATTTGTTAATTGTATGTTTATTTATTTATTTCCTAATGCTGAGCAAAAGCCCAAGATACAAGATGGTCCATTTTAAATGGGGACCACTTTTGTAACTTGAGAAGGATTTCCATATCTGGGTATCAGTAAGTATTCCTCCTGATTTCCCCCCCACCCCCCATCACTCCTTATTCTGGCCCTATGAGGAATTATCAGTTTTCCCTCTGTCCCCTGTTTAATTCTGTGCTCTGTGTTTAGTCCGTGCTAGGACTTTCACTAGCATCACACCAGTTTGGACACTTGGCTGCTTGAAATAAAACTTCATACATGTGTGAAAAGAGCTCAACTTTTGTGTCCATGATGGTTTGAAATCTAAGCCTCCAAGGAAAATTTTGCAAAAGGATTCATTTTCAGTTTACTATGTTCATTGAAGGTGGTGACCTTTTTTTGTGTGTGTGTGTGATCACCAAGAAATTCAAAGACACAACATTTACACCTATGAGTCTATCATTTTCAAAACAAGTCAGAGAACTTGTGACAATCTTCCTTGGTCTTCTTGTCTACACAGGCCAGATTTTTGTAAGCATGAAGCTGTTCCTGTTGTCCTCTTGGAGGGATTGTCTTCATTACTACAGGAAAGTTTTCCTTCCATGCTCTGACTATACAGTTTATATCTCTTCCCCCATCACAGGAGATGCTGGGAGCAACTCCCAGGACAGTTCTTGTAATTATTTAACATGGTATTTATCCATAGCCTATGGTTTGGGGTTTAATAACAGATATTGTGTTAAATAAGAAATTCAGAGTAATTCTCTATGCCTTTGGAAAATTTTCAGCTTGGTTGTGAAGATAAGATGCCATCAGCTGAAGTTATACACTCAATAAATGCCCAAGGGCAAAAGTAGTAGAGACTTTAGTATAAACTGAGAGGCTGTCTGAAAAATTTAGGTGGTTTGGTTCATGACAATACATCCAACTAATTTCTGGAGATCCTCCTCTTCCAAAAACAGTTTAGCTGAGAAATCTTGAATTTGCCTCATAAATGGTTTTATCTTTCAGAAGGTAAGGAAAGCAAAGAAGGATAATAATTTTGACCAAAAATGAGGAGCTAGTGGGTGAAGTGAAAATGATGGGCATGTTGGGAAGCTGCTACCCTTTCTTCAAGGGCAAAGCAAGATATAATCTGATGAATACTCTTGTCTTCAGGCAATAATTATAAGTGTCCAAAGGTAGCAAATAAGTAGGATCTTGTGGACTGTGCCTCTAAAAGAGAAGGAAGCTCAAGAGGAGTGGGAGACTTTCAAGAATGAAATTCTTATGATGAAATTGTGATCGATTAATACCGTTTCATAGGATTTATAGCTGGAAGGGATGATAGAGATCATTTTGTTCAATGCTCTCATTTTACAGATGATTCAATGAAGAAAAAAAAAGACAGTTTATTGACCAATTTACATTTTTGAAGGACATATACAAGAAATCAAAGCAAGAACAAGTAACTGAAGAAGAATGCAAAAAAATCCCGTTAGAACAATTGTCTGGGAATTAATGTTCACCATGAACTGAGGCTTATGACAAATACTAAAGGTAGAGTATGACAATAGTACCAGTGCTTTTAGTTTGGAAGGTAGTATTGAAAGCAAGTAGAAAATTAAGGAGATCTCTGATTATAGATGGGACAATAATATGATGAAGAGAAGTCAAAAATTTTTAACTCCAATTTTGCTTCTCTTGTCTTTATCAAGGAGGAACTGTCCTCAGACTGAGAAAGACATAACAAAAATGGGAAATGAAAACCAAAATAAGTAAGAGGATGCTAAGAGAACACCTAGCTGCCCTCAATGAATTCAAATCACCTGGTGCAAACTAGACCTCAGAGTATGAACAAACTTACTGATGTGATTGCTGAACTGTCTTTGAGGAAAATATGGGTAATATGACAGGTACTTCAGGACTGCAGAAGAGCAAATGTCTTAATTTTTTAAAAAATGTAAATAGGTAAATTACTTCAGACTTTAGGCCAACGAACATGATGATGACTGTTGGTAAAATTTTGAAATAGATTATAAAAGAAATGGTGTGTGTGTGTGTGTGTGTGTGTGTGTGTGTGTACATGTGCAGCTTATCAGGGGTAGGCTTGTACACAGTATATTTGGATTTCAGAATGGCATTCATGATACCTATATGACAAGAAATATAGTACCATTAGGTGGTTTTAAATAATTTGATTGACTAAACCCAAACAATGTTGATTAGTGGGGAAGTTTAAGATCCTATACATACCTCTATTTGATTTATCATTTTTATATATGACTTAAATTAAGGTATAAAAGGAATCATATTTGCAGATGATACAAAAGTTATGTAGTTAGCTAACACATTATATGATAGAATCAGGATCTAAAAGGATTCTGACCAGCTGGAATGGTAGGTTGAAGATAACAAAATGAGAGAATTAAATATAAAGTGCTGAACTTTGGTAAAAATAAAAAACAAAAACATTCAACCGCATAAATAAGGAATGGGCACAGGGGACATAAACTGAAAGCAATTTATATGGAAAAGACCTGGAAATTTTAGTGGATTGTGAGCTTTGTAGCAATGTGATGTGGTGGTCAAAAATAACATCGCCATTTTTAA